AAAAGCTCTGAGGCCAGCGGGTGAACAGCTCGCCACTTTAGCAAGAGACAGAAACGCAGTGCACTATTGCCGACCATGCCAGGGCAAAAGCCTGTGAACTTGCAACCCCCGATTGGTTTCCAGGTATCCGCCGACCAAGCTGGCGGGAGGTTAGGCATGCCTAAGATGGCCATTGGTAGGGTTTCCCAACCTTGCTTCTCCAGGTCGCGCAAAGCAGCCTGCGCTCCCACTTTGGCCTTACCGAAAGCATGGAATATGGCTGGTCGCATTCTATTTCGTGGCAGCGCACTGGCTTGGAACAAGTGTTCCCCTGGCAGTGATGCAGCTGTGCATGACCCTTCTAACATTGGTAGCACTGACAAGACCCCCTGCTCGAAAGTAGCCCTAGCCCAGCTGGTGAGCCATGGAGTTCGCATTTGCCCAGCAGGAGTGAGCGCCTGTGGATGGGATTGTCGAGGCCATTTGAGGGTGCCACCTTCGCCAAGCCCAGCAGGGCTCGCTGCAGGGCAAGGCTAGAAATTCTTACACATGTATAGTCCATACAGTGACCACACTATGCAAAGATCAAGGGCAGTTTGCATTGGTACTCCAACAAAGGGAGTGAACATAGTTCCGTTAAAGCTGCCTCACTCGGGGTAACGGGTGGCCGGGCGCGGGAGACTAATGCAAGGCGGTACGCTTGGAGATCCCTGGCCAGCACTGCAGAGCTAGCCTCGTTCTCCATCGGGCTGCTCTTGTGGCGATTGCCAATCGAGATGACCAGACCTGCATTGTACTCCAAGTGAGCCTCCGTGAAGAGCAACATTCCAATTCCTCGGTAGGTGTGGGACTCGGACCGTGTGCGCCCTAGCAGGTCAACCCATTGGAGCTGCTGATGAGCCAGTTCGATCAAATCTTGCACTTCAAAGAGTGTGACAGGCACACAGTCATTATCAATGAGTGCAAAATGCTGTGCGGTATAGGAAGCGGGCTCCTTCCAACACGAACACGCCTCCCCATTAGTAGGGAACCTTGTGAAGGCCAGTGGTAGCATCTGCGCAAAACCACAGCACATCAGTTGCCTCTTCTTGGGGGCCTACCAGGCATCGGCGCGAGGCCCACCAGGCTGCAAAGGCAGGCCAATGCGGGACAGCGTCAGGCTTACGATTATCCACAATTAGGTAGATCATCTGATTACTCGTGATGAGCTCCCGATGCAACATCAGCGTATGGATGATAGCAGTCATGTCTGGCAAGTCCCCTTCTGTCTCATCAGTGTCATAACCCTTGTCCTGTGTGGGTGGCTGTGCACGAACATCCGACAGCTTGAGAGCAGGTTGGGCTGAGTCGAGACCAAAAGGACTGCTAAGGTGATCAGGCATGGCCAAGGCTGCATAAGCATCCTCTTGAGCCTTTGAGGCACAAACTTGAGTGCCCTCAACGAAAAGAGCACGGCCATCGTCTGAGAGCCAGTCCGCGTTGGCCTGTGTGAAGGCCATGGGCGCTCTGGTTCTATCATCCATGTGATCATTTGCTTGCCCTGCATCCTAACTTGCCGGATGAAGCAACGCCTCAATGGTTGGGCATCCAAATGCCTGTGGCTCGGAGCTCGCGCCCTGCCGGCGCTGCAAGACCAAGTGAGGGCTCCAGGCCCGCGGCTGGAAGTGAGGGCGCCACGCCCGCTGCTCGTGCTGGCCAGGGTCCCATGCCCGTGAATGAGGAGTGGGATTCTGATGGAAGCTATGAGCTTCTTGAAAACTGAACGGCTGACCGAAAAGGTCTTTTGGCCATGGAATGTGCAGTGACGCACTGCAGGGGGAGTGTGGGAGACAAACCATGCACCTCATGAGCATTTTCGCTTTCGATCGAGCATTTCGATTCGAGCTGTTGATGAACTTCGCCAACCAAACGGTTTGGCTCAAGCTGAGCAGGTGGAAAAGGTCCGCTTGCTTCGCACCCCAACTCATACCTCCTTAGATTTGATTTTTTCATCCGGTGGGAGGGCAGGTTCCAACTAGATTGCGGTGTGAAGACCTTTCACTGGATTTGGTGTGTTGGACGATAATGATGATGATGATGATGGTGACAATGATGAAGCTCTTGTTCGGCTCCATGAGGACAACAAAAATGGGAACTAACATTTTAAGCGTTCCATGTCGTTTGTTCAACCAAATCAACGTCCCTGGATGGAATCATGCAGCCATTTAACGAATTCCCGCCTGTTTTATTGTATGTGAACATTCGTATTGAGTCGGACACTGTTGATCAGGACATCCAGACACAGTCAAAACCGGGATATGACTGGAGATGTGTTTTGTCAAATGCACCAAAAAACGTTTGAATGCACTTTGTGTTATGTTTAGATTTTGTGCAAACAAAAATTGCCCGCAAAACTGCAGTTTGAACTCGGGCCTGTTGCATGAAGAGTAGTCCAGCCTTACGATCTATTGGACAAACGCCACATGTCTATAAAAAATAATTTGCATTCCTTTTGGCGCGAATTTGCATCTAACAAAACAAGAGCCCCAACCACTGACATGAATAAACTTCAGTATGTAGGATGGCGCAGGGGTTGTAATGCAGTTTTTGGCGTGAGCCTGAGCGACCTGGCAGCCTAGCAGCTTCCGAGCCGGGCGACACGCTGGGCTAAGGTGCGACGAGCACGCCGGGAACCGCTAAGTCGGGCGTGGTGTTATTGCACTCGACCGGTCAGCCATCGACTTCGGTCTCCGAGAAAACCGAGCTGTTCACCTAGAAATGTCAAGCGCGAAAAAATGGACACCTGATGATCTCCACTCTTTGGTGTGCAGCTCCAAGTGCTTTGTGGTTTTTGGCTCCGAAGACCTCGAGGATGGCGTCCATGGGCGTCTGATTGGCATCCATGGCTGTGCCTCATCAAGGAAGTGGTTGCAGAATGCCATGGATGTACCTTTTGCTCTTCAGCAGGCACCGGGGCAAAGCGTCAAGAGCTGTAGAGAGCCTCTATTTCTACTAGTCCAAGCCCGCATGGACAGGGATGTGGTAAGGTTGGAAGGTGGAATACAAAAGGCCACTTTCAAGAATGATCAATTTCAGTCATTGCCTGAGGATTGATAGTGCTGGCCATCCTTACTCAATTCATCCGATCCAGCTACAGTAAAATCTATTTGTATGTTGTATAGTTTCAGATTCCTTTTTCAGTTGCCCTCGGAATGGGTTGGCTAGGCTTAGGCCTTTTAATGGACACGGTTTGGCATAGGAACTCAACAGACACGAAAAATTATTCACTGCTGGTGCGGCTTCGGATGCTCTGCGGGGTTCCTATGGTCAGGTCTAAGCAGAGGAAAACATGTCAAAAGGCCTCGCATCGGCATTGCAAGGAGGTTTGCAATGATGAGTTGCATGGTATTATCGGTTGTACAGTTGTACGGTCATTCAGTTGTAAGTTTTGGCTGAAAAGATGAACGCCGATTTCCAACTGGCTGCACTAAGTGAAGCAACAAGTGCCCCCAAAAATATCACGATATTCTTGAAAATCAACAATGAAGCAAGCACTTGCAGAGAAAAATGCTGAATGTTCCATACATATTTTTGGCAGTATGTATGGTGAAACTTGAGGCAGCAGATGGTGTTTGGCCTCGGCCTGTTTCGTGTGTGCACGCAAACAATATGCCTTGTTTTCATGCTCACCTTGTTGAGGAATGAAAGACTCACCTGCCGGATGAAAAACCCTCCTCGAATCATGGGCCAACGTTGATGGCCCCCAAAGGATGATCCTTCTCTGCTACCCTAAGGATCCTTGGAACCTCCTTAGAAGGGGTCGAACCCTCTATAACAAGGGTTTGTATATGTTTGTACCCTCAAAACCCTTGTTTTTGAGGGTGCGGATCCTTAGGGTATATATACATGTATATATGTGTATATGCTTGGTGCCTATCCACTTCCATGATGATTTCAGCGTATTTCCATCGTTTTCTCCCCCCCCCCTTCCGGTGACTCCTCAAGGATATCAGAAGCTCCGGTGGTTTCACCGGGGTCGTGTCCGGTGACGGCCTCCCAGAACCGCTGCAGAGCTGTCGGTCACCTACGACCTGGCAGCCTAGCAGCTTCCGAGCCGGGCGACACGCTGGGCTAAGGTGCGACGAGCACGCCGGGAACCGCTAAGTCGGGCGTGGTGTTATTGCACTCGACCGGTCAGCCATCGACTTCGGTCCCCGAGAAAACCGAGCTGTTGCACGGAGTTGTATCCCAGAAACAGGTGCAATCAAAGAATTCAATAAGTCACATGGATCATTTCCCCTTCTTCCTCCCTGTTTTTATTCAGGTGGGGTGGACGGATGGAGGAGGAGGTCGAGTGCAGAATCGTCGAACTTCCATGGACCTTTTTTTGGATGGTTTTGCGGCACCTTCGTTGAGTTAGGATTTGGGACACATGATTTGGGATTTGGACTTGTCTGGATTTTAATTAGTTGGAGAAGGTTAGAGATCGTTTCTACCCTTCAGGCCGCCTTCAGGCCTTAAGGCTTCCTGGGTGCTCACCTGAATTCTGCCCAGTCCCTGTCCAGCAAAGACTCTTGCCAGGTGCCCCGTGACTTTGCAGTCACTGGGTCACACTAAAGACTCCCACAGGCGTCACTGGGGGTCACTGGCAGCGGTTCCGCTCGTGCCGTGCGAATCGTGAAACCAGATCTTCGACTAACCGGCCAAATAGCCTAGCTTTCTGATCGGATTTAGATGTGGCAAAGAGGAGAGTCTTAGATTAGATGACAACTGGTTAAGAGAGCTACTAGTACTTAGCAGTTACTTTTGACGCAGCCCAGCATACATTTTTCTCCATTTAGTGTGTTCAGTTGTTCAGCCAACTAGAATTCGGACATCCCCATCCTACAGATGGTAAGCATTGTTCGCTGTTTCAACAACTCAAAGGTTATCCACTTCCGTAGGGTGTGAGCTGCGTCTGAAGCCACTGCTAGCCGCATGCAAAGCCCTTTAGGCCCGAATTTGGAACCAGGAGCAGCCGAGACATCGTTTCCCAAGGCACCATGGCAAATGTTGCGAACTCCAAGGCTTACCACGAGATGAAGCCGGTGAACGAGTTGGCCTTGGAGCAAGGAGAGCCTTTGAAGGAAGTGATCGTGGCAGAAGCGACACCCAGCTACTTTGAGAAGATGTTGGGAGCAGGTGAGGAGCCACCACCACAGCTCTCCCTGTACTACAGCAGCTTCAGTTTCCTTGGGGCTTTCGTGGGAATGAGCGCCATCGGCTTGCTGCACACCTATGTGATGATGCCAGAAGCCAACATGGCACTCTTGGTGGGCTCCTTTGGTGCGATGTCCGTGATTCTTTTCAGCGGATTCAAGACTCCAGTGGCACAGCCCAAGAATGTGATCATTGGCAACACCATTGGTGGACTCGTTGGTGTGGTAGTCTTCGAATCCATGGCTTTGCTAGGCCTTCAACAGATGCTGTGGCTGGGCGCTGCACTTGCAGTCTCCCTCACGATCGTGGCGCAAGAGATCACTGGCACCGTCCATCCCCCAGGGGGTGCCACTGCCTTGATTTACGTGATCACACCTCCCGTCCAGCATTTGAGGTCTCGGTGTCCAAAAAAGAGAGCCAAAAAATAGGGCACACACAAACACTTGGATGTATTTATCTTCATCCGGATAGCTACGGTAATGTGGAAAGAATCATGCGACAATCGAGTACCATAAGGAATACGGCCACTCTTTTGAACAATCCTTCCTAATTGTTCTGCCTATCCTTTTGGATGACTGGGGCTATATCTAGCGCTTTGGAAGTTTTCCAGCACGCTGTCCTGCTCCAGGTATTGGTTTGTTCTTTGCCCCTCCTTTCTGGGTGCAGTCATTATGGTGGCCGTGGCCTGTGTGACCAACAACTTGTCTTCTGACCGGGTCTACCCTCAGTACTGGTGGCCTTCTGCAGAAGAAGCGGAGTCGGAGGAGAGCGAGCCGGAGACCCTGCTGGGCAGGTACTTTAAGAAGTTCCAAGGTGCAAAGGCGCGGGGCAAAGAGACTGTTGTGCTGCTGACAAGCTTTTTTGTTGTTCGTTTAAGGCTTAGTCCGCATTCAAATTTGCAGCGATTCACCTTGCAAATTTGAATAAAACCCATTAAGAAGCCAAGACACAGGAAACCTCCTCCAAAGCTTGTGCAGATCGCTTGATTTTCAGTGTTTGATTTTGACCAGCTTAGCTTTAAGGCACATGTCTTGCCTGGCAAAGTCGCCTTCCAAGTTCTCCTGCGTGAGGCGAAACCACTTCCTGCTGCTTTCCCTCCCCTTGCTCAAACCTGGTGCAGTTTCTTGGGCGCCTTTGTTGGTGTGGCCACACTGGGATTGCTGCATGCCTATGTCATCATCCCCATGATGCATGAGACTCTGCTGATTGGAGCCTTTGGTGCCATGTCGGTCATCATCTTCTCCGCTTGGAAAGTGAGGGGCCCGGTTGGCATGAGGCACTACACGGTTGTCATGGTTCTTTGTTGCTCTTTTTCTGGTTTGTCTAAGAGACTGGCACTGGCACTGGCAGGAACGTTCGATGAACACGGCAGTCCAATGGCCTTCAAAGAATGAGCTAGTCTTTCAAGGTGTTCAACATTTCCATTGTTTGGCGAATCAACATTTCAAGGTGTTGGCCGATCACCTTTTTCAGGGCGTAGCCGTTCTTTGCTGTTCTTTTTTCTTCTTCGAGGTGCCCTTTGCTCAGCCGAAGAATGCGATCATCGGCAACACCTTGGGCGGACTGGTGGGCGTCTGTGTCCATCCCCCAGGGACGCGATCCGCGTCGAAGTTTTGTCGGCTGTAGAGGCCACTGACCTCACTGACCCTTCTTTTTGTTTCATCAGCATCCAAGAAGTCACAGGTCAATTTAATCTCGAAAGGACAGGTCATGTTTCGTTTCTTTTTGTTGTGAACCTTAAGAGACCCCTTTTTGGACAGATTGAACGCCTAGGTCTACAACTTTCTGCAGGCCTTTGGTTTGGGACAACATGTCTGGTTTGGTGCAGCGCTCGCTGTGGCTTTGACCATCCTGGTCCAGGCGACCACGCCACCACACGCGTAAAGACGCCCAGCGCCGGTGTTGTGCGCGATCTCTTTGGTGTTCTGCATCCGTTTATGTCATCAGCAACGCATCAGATGCAGCAACCAGCCAGCTTTATACTGTAGGTTGGTGTGAAAAGGCATTCCAGGTTTCAGAAGTGGCAGCCGCTGGGAGTGTTTGGGTGTTCTTTCACACAAGGCCCCATTGGAACCAGGGGCCTTCGGTTCACGGGTGCAGGAGATCACCAACACCGTGCATCCCCCTGGCGGTGCGACGGCTCTTCTCTTCGAGATCGTGCCAATGCTTCACAAGTTCGAGTTCATGTATGTGGAAAGCTCAGACGACGAAGACGACGATGAGTAGGATGAACGTGCTTTGTACATTTCAAGACGATGAAAGTAAAGAATTGTACATTTTTCCAGTTTTGTTTGAGTAGTCCTCTCATTGTTAGTCTTCAGGACTCTCGTGAGTCTGACTTCATCAAGAAAGAAATCAGTGCCTTCGAAACACCCAAGATAGAACCATCGCTCTTAGGTTGGAGGCCATCGCTACTAGGGTGGAGGCCATTGCTCTCAGGTTGGAGGCCATCTAATCTACCCCTTCGCTGCTGTCTCATCCTTTTCTGAGGTGCTGACACCATCCTTCCTGGGCACCGTGATTCTGGTGCTCATCGGCTGCATCACCAACAACCTGGTGGCCAAGCGTCACTATCCCCAATTTTGGTTCCCCTTTTAGAGGACCTGTGCATCCCAAATGCACACTGCCTGCGGAGACATGTCGATCCTGACGTGTCTTGTCGTGATGCAAGTATGGAGTACTGCAGCACGACCATTTGCGCACCCCCCTGAGAGCAGGGTGATGTTCTCAAGCACCCTGAGAGCATGGGCTCCACTGCTGAAAGCAGTGCAGAACCCGGCGTTTTCCAAAAAGGCACCCAAAAATTCAGAGACTGAGATGAGTGGTTTTCCACTGAACCCCCCGACCATCACCTTCTCCAGACCACCTTCTGTACCGACTTCTTGAGCCCTTCCGGGCCGTTGGCGAACCGGGGACGTCAAGGTTCGCTGAGTAAGTCTCCTCAGGTCTACCGGGCCTGGGGCTACCCGCCAGTCTTGCATTGAGCAGCGAACCATCTGGGTGCAATACATGTGTGATCAACGCAAATGATTTGCCCTAGCCGTTGATAGGACATACCTTGACATTAATATACCTAACGAACGCTGCTTCCAGCGTTGCCAGCGCCAGCGTTCCTTCTGCAGGTCCAGTGCCTTGGGCCGGGCAGAGTCCGGTGTCGCTGGATGACCAGCCGAGGATGACGCGACGCGACACCCTGAGGCTGACCGAGCCGGTTTGAGCGTGTGTGTGGGAAGGATTGGAATGTATTGACCGAACGAAACGATGCCAGAGCTCTCTGTTTGGTTATATAGTTTGGTTGTTGTAAGCTGAGGGTCTTGGCGTTTCCGGTGAAAGATCAGGCAAGGCAATCAGAGTGGAACAGCCAGAAAAGCTTGGATTGAGATGCGAATTCCCTTCGTTGCAGTCTTGTATTTGAGCTGCGCTCGGAGATTGCCGAGATGGCTGGTGCCGTTCGCTAGGTGCTTTGGTTGGGCATGGGCCATTTGAGGTGCAGTCAGATCCCGAGACTGAGCAGTGAAATCATCTAAAGATCTAAAGCGGATAGTAGAAATCTAAAGCATGTAAAAGTTTGAAATATGTGTAACTACGCCTATGCATGAAATACGTCGTGAGTGTATCCAAATAGGATTACCCTCAGATATGTATTCTGTTGGTGTTTGTCAAGCTTAATTCGAAAGGAATCTGATGCATTCAGATGTTTTCCATGCAGAAATTTCACCGGCGGAAGATGACCACCAACAGGCCAGGTGACCTTTGGGTCTTCCAACGGCAGGACCACCACTATCTGCATGTTTTCCACAAGGACCACTATCAAGTCAACACACTCCATCTTCTGGGCAGCATGCCTGTGACTCTCCCGGCCTGTGGGTTCCCACAGTTCACGGGGATGGGAACAATGGTTCCTTCTTTATGCACATCCTGTATGTGTATTTTTAGAAAGGCGAACCATCTGCAGTTTTCAATGTGGCGCTGATGACGACGCCTGATGACGCCTTCATCGCTCTCAAGGAAGTGCTTCGACGCCTTTGACAATGCCATGGATGCACCGGATGCGAGAAATTGCTCTCCCAGGAGCATGGGCAATCCTGAAGCCATTGGAATACAAGTGCCTGGACAGGCATGTGGTGAGGCTTCAAAGGCGTTGGGATGAGTCAGCTTATCATCGGTCTGGTTGGTTAGGGATAAGCAGGTCAATTTCAGAGTTCAGGTCAACTCACTCGTTCTTTCTATTTGAGCCGATGGCATGATCATGCCATTTTGGCTCAAGGAGCTCTACCATCCTTTTTGAAATGTGGCAGACGACCTCGTCTAAGCGTCTAAGCATGTGAACTGAGCATGCGCGTGATGAGCTTCATGCCTTCAGTTTTAGGATGTTATATTCAAGTGCCAAAAACCATTACAACAAGTGTCGCACTCCAGTGACTTCAAGCAAACAGAGCACAAGACAGGGCTTTATCCAAACATCCACTTTACCTTATCTCACATCAAACACAGGTGTTTGATGAGCGCCTTTGGTCGAAAACGCCCGTCCAGCCAGTCGTCTCAGCGCTTCCGGCCTCGTGCCGCCGTCGAGGCTCTTGCGGAAGCTGCAGCGGAACGTGGCGCATGGAACCTCAAAAACACGGGTTCTCTCAGGCGACCGGTGGGGACGACGTGAATTGGACCGTGGATTGGGCCATTGAAAGGCTGACATTTGTTTGATTCGAACTGTGGTATTTCTTGTGTTTACCCAATGCATACCCGAGGCCCAAACATCCTCGAGATTTTTGATGAACACGATGTTGGTACAGTAGATGGTTCAAGGATGTTCAAGGGTATTTTGCGAATGCACGTGTGTCGAATACTGTTTATGGTCGCTGGCCACAAAATGTAATGTAGAAATATACCTGGATCATGTCAGCTTATCATCGGTCTGGTTGGTTAGGGATAAGCAGGTCAATTTCAGAGTTCAGGTCAACTCACTCGTTCTTTCTATTTGAGCCGATGGCATGATCATGCCATTTTGGCTCAAGGAGCTCTACCATCCTTTTTGAACGCTTTTCACGGCGTTCGCCGTCGGGCCTGGGTGATTTCCATGGGCTACCGTGGAGGTGGTGGTCACTGGAGCGGCCGTGGCGGTGGTGGATGGGGCTCACAGGGAGCTACGTTCAGCTCAGGAGGAGCCAACGCGGCTCACAACCCCTTCGAAGTCAAGCTCCCAAAATTCCTGGAGTGGCTCGAATACAATGAGGACAACATGGCTGAGAACTCGATCGTCATGATTGATGATCGGGACCTTCGCATGGTATCCCCTTTTCAGGGATGGCTACCTCGTGAGATCATGGCAAACTCTGCGAGTTCCATCAACGTGCTGACGGAACGTGATCAGGTCATGCCGCCAAACTCGGGGTTCCACTTGTCCCTGTTCGGGAATTACACCCTCGATGGAATCAAAGCTGTGGTCGTGATCGCCTTGGACACAGAGACTGGGGCAATGAATGCGGGCTGGGATCGAGAGACGGCTGAGGCTCTCAGCCACCCTGCATTCCAACCTTTTTCATGGCCGTTGCTCAGGGACACGTCTGCATAGTACACCGATGTCAAGGTGTACAACGGCAACGAAGTTCTGTTCCATTGGATCTTTCGTGGATACAGGGCAGACACGGATCTCACAGTCCAGCAGCAGTTCGTCGATGAGGTGCTCGTGAGAGAGGCCAACAGAGGCAAGCCGCGCCTCTCGTCGTGGTGGCTAGCTTTGTGGGCTGGAGGGTCACGGTGTTCTCGTTCGAGTGTGGAGGACGAACTTACTCTGTCGGGCCGAATGGAGCAGTGGTCGCTGGCGATCATGCGCGCTCGCGTTTCGAATTGCGAGTGTGCAACCGATCGTCACAAGATGCGATGGGCAACGATGCTGATAGGGTCGAGTTCCGGTTCAGGGATGCCAACAACAGACTGGATCTCAAGTGCCAGAGAACGTCAGTACCTGGCACGTGGCTCACCGTTTCTCACATCTCTGGACCTACGCTCATTCAGACCATCCAGAATGTCAGGCAGGCTCGTGCCAGGGTTGAAGGTCCAGAGCACACTGAGCAGTTCGGTCAGCTAGCAGCTGTTCATGAGCATTGGTTCCATGCGGCGGTCGCCAAGAACCAGAGCGAAGTGGGATCCACCGTCGACTTCATCGGAAATCTCGACGCGGGGAACTTCCACATCACCTGCGCGTCCAAGCTCTTGGTGGTGCAGCCGGAGATCGTAAACCCCAATGCTTTGGCCGAAATGCAGCATGCTGGCTCCAGCAGGATGGCTCCAGCAGGACCGCCGGCTTTGACTGGTGGCGCGTGGAAGCATGCGGCTGAAGAAGCCAACACAAGGGCAAAGGCGGATCAGCCAGGGCTGTCTGTGACAGCTCAGGCAGACTACGAGCTGTCGAAGAGATCTTTCAATGCACCGCCGACACGCTCGACCGACCACATCGAAGATGAGGCTCGAGATCAGGCGAGAAATGATAGGAGGTATGCAAGATCTTCGGCGCAGGTCACGCCGGCTGTTTTCGCCACACAGATCCGGTCCCATGTGTTCAACGAGACCACTGCTACCATCGAGGAGCTCCCTCCAGGAGATTTAGAGCTCCCACCAAGGGCCGAGCCGCCATTGAGGCAAGAGCCTGTTCAGGCCACAACGCCAGGGACAGAGCCAGCATCCTTGCGGCCAGGCCAGTCGGATCTGCAGTAGTGCGCTGATGAAATGCGCACGAAGCCGGATCAGGTTTCCCCTTGTTTTTCACCCGGTCGACCCGGGAGCTTTTTGGAGTGGAGGAAAACCGATGGAGGCGGCCGACCAGTTCATCCGACTGGGCAGGTGGTTCGGGTTGGATCACGCCTGAACATCCTATCGGCCGTTCGCTCGGTCCTCGTGATATATGACCGTTCATGCAGCAATAGGTTTAGATCTTATGTGATTGATTTTTCATTTTTCTGTAATAAGCGATAAAACCCTCAATTTCTTATATACATATATGTATATAAGATCCGGATCACGATCACGTTCGAGTTCGATTTACTCCAAGCGGTTCGCTTGAACACTGATCAGTGTCGGCACGATCGCCAGGATGGCGGAGGTGGGCCAAGATCCCTGGCCTCCTCACCACAGCAGGTTCCGAGCGTTTGGACGGGGGACCTCGTCGTTCGACGCGCGTGCTCGGGGGATCGTTTCGTTGCGTTCGCAGCGCGGTCTTTGGTTCGAGCGGGCGTTCGCGCGCGGGACCGGTCCACGTTCATTCGAGGTTCATGCGTATGTTCACGATTCCTGACGCCAATGACGTGTTCATGTCATTAGACAGGATCGTAATATTTTCTTCATCTCGTCTCGGTCCCATGGATCGCTCGCTCGCAGCTTTCCTTCAGCTGCCGGTTTTTGACGAGCCGTTCGTGCGCGCTCTTTGCAAGCTGGGACTTGGGAGATCCGGGTTTTGGCTGGCACTGGACGACAGCGAAGGGCCAGATGAGCAGATCGCACGGATGCTCGTCGCTATGGGGGGCGACCAGGAGGATCGGGATGCGGTGTTGAGACAGATCGAACTGGTGCCTCTCCTGTTCAGTCTTGTGCACCAATCGCGGGACAAGATCATGGGAGAGATCGCCACTGATTTGGGTTTTGGGGAAGGGTCGGCGGTTAGGCCAGCCAGCAGGGTAGATCCGCCCCGTAGGCATGGCCTCCTGGATCCGGCTGTTCCCTCGGTCAAGAAACCCAAGATGATCCCAGCAAGTGAAGAAGTCACATCTTTGAAGTCAGAAGAACAGAAAGAGAAGATCCGATGGGCCGCAAGGCTCAAAGCGATCGCAATGAGAGCTGGAGATCATGCGCTCATCAGCAAGCCGCTTCCCGGCCAGCAAATATCAGCGGAGGAGCAGGCTGAAATTCGATCCATGGTTTTCAGCTCGGGTGCGTTTCGCACGATTCGTGTGAACGTGTTGGTTTGGGAAAAGATGGAGAAGTGGGCTAGTTCGGTCGGGCTCTCCGTTTACCCCCTCACCGATGCCGTGTTCGCGCGATACTGTCTTCACCTTCAAAATTCAGGGTGTGGACCATCGGTTCTGCCAGCTCTCAAGTATGCCGTGAAGTGGGTCTGCAAGAGACTGGTCATGGAACCCCCTTCAGTTGATTCTCCCTCGATCGGGGCCATCATTGAGAAGGTCTACCAAGACAGGGGCAAGGAACTGAAGGAGGCCATTGCAGTTCCCTTGCCTGCTGTGGCTGCTCTTGAGTACCTAGTGAATGCTCTCATCATCGAAGATAAGATCCCGGCAGCCATTTTTGTCTGGTGGACCCTCATTCTCATTTATGCCTCGCTCAGGCGGGATGACGGCCGCCATGTGGCTCCGAATTCTTTGACGATCACTGAGGATGCGCTCATGGGACTGGTCTGGCAAACGAAGGTAGAGCGCAAGCGAAGGGGAACGCGATTCGCGGTTCCGCGGTGCTCGTTGTCGGGGATCGCATGGCTAGATGAAGGCTGGAAAATTTTTCAACCTTTTATAGGAGATAGGGATTTTTTCATATGGGATCTGGTAAGCGAAACCGAGTTCGATATCGCACCGGTCTCGTACCCGAAGAGTATCCCCTGGCTCCGATATTTCCTAAGCTGCGCGATCGACGTAGCACAAATGGATGGGGTCATAACTGAAGGCCAGGCTGAAGAAGCCAGGTCTTCTAGGATGGAGATCACGTGGCACTCCATGAGAGCCACTCTGTTGTCCGCCGCGGTGACCTCGCAGGTGGATGACAAGATCATAGGATTACAAGCCAATTGGAAAGATCCCAGCCAATTGGTGCTCAAGTACGCTAGACAGCGCAAAGAGCTCTCCATACGTATGGTCCAGGACCTAGCTGCTCGTATCCGAGCGGAATGGGTCCCAGATCAGAACCATTTCGAGGTGGAGGACGATGACGATGTCGTCGAACCCTCTCCTTGCGAATACGTGGTTAAGAGCTCCTTGCCCCCGCGTGCGTTGGTGGCATCTGATCTGCGATACCACATAAAACAGTCTGTGGTAAACTCGACGCACACTCTGTGCGGCAGGTTGTCTTTAGATGATGTGGTGTCGTTCGGATCGATCGCACCCGGTATGGTATGCCAGCACTGCCAGAGTAAGTTGCAGGCTGCCAACTCATAGGTACCATCCCCCCTTTTTCCGCCGGAGAGAAAACCGAATGCGCGGTCTTTCGACTCGTTCGGATTCGGCCGCGGATCGGGAATTTCGATTTGATTTGATGGCGATGATTTTCTTGTTGCGATCCTCATGTGCCCTTTTTCATTTCAGTGTTTACCAGTCATGTCATGATTTTATTCCCGTCAATTTTTGGTGCCACGCAAGATCTTGGCCCTTCCTGAGATCGCAAGTTGCGATGGTCGATCGCACCACGTATGATAGCGAGGATCGAACACCGAAGATTGCCTTGAGGCAGATCTTCGCTCGACATGCACTGAGTGAGGATCTATGCCGGGCCGCTGCTAACAACGGTCTCTTGTCGGTCGAGATCTTCGCCATGCTGGGCGATTCAGCAGCTCACGCCAAAGAAGGCATCAGAGCGCTCATCCCGGCCGACCAACTAGGGTCTACTGGTGGTGCGAGAGATCTCGCCGTCATGCAGCTCGCTGCAGTATGGCTGGCATGTCAAGCTCTGCAGACGCAGTTTGCTAGTCGTCGAGCTCGCATGGAAGAGGATCCAAACAAGATCCCCGAATTAGCTCAAGAGGACCATGCTGAATTTCGGTCGCGCTTCGTTCGGGCTCATCCTGATGTGATCCTCATCGATTCTAAGGAACCTCACAAGAAGTTCGTTGAGAAGCTCAACCGTGACTATTTAGTCAACGGAATGGTGCCTTTCTACACCATGTCGGAGGTTCGCACCAGAGCAGACACCATAGTTCAGAAGTCTGGGCTCACCAAGAACGCCGAGGACTTGCTCACAGTATCCAAGGCCGACGAACCAGAAGCAGTCACTGACGTGCATGTTCTCATGAACAGGATCCATGCGTTTTTCATGGCCTTGGACTTCCTCAACATTTGTTCTTACTCCAAGGCAGCAGGTCCGCTCGACTACCTGCAACAGCTCGAGCAATTTCGAGTGGAATGTCCAAGTTTGCCGTTCGTGATGATGGCAGATACGCTCATCCGCAAGAAAGCCTTCCGACTACAAGCAGAGCAGAGAGAGAAGTACAGCTCATATGAAGCTGCGCTCAAAGAGGTCCTCACCAACCACAAATATCTCTGGAACGATGCCAGAACGAAGGCTCTCCTCTCTCGGGTTGATCCCCGAAAAGAACATGAGCAAGCTCAGTCTGATCGGGTTGCCACAGATGCCATCGACAAGACGTCTTCTCCCAAGTCGGCAAAGCGGAAAAGAAAGCTCGAGCGCTTGCGAGAGGAGCTCGCCAAGGCCAAGGCCACCAGTGCAAACAAGTCGATCAAGCCAGACAAAGCCGGCAGCGCAGCAGATCGTGACAAGCGCATCCCAGACTCAGAGTGGAAGTCGATCACCAAGGCGGCTCAGTCTGTCAAGGGTGCCAAGAGGTGCCACTACTACAACTCCTCCATGGGGTGCTCGCTCGGGGACAAGTGCAGGTTCAAGCACCTGTGCATGGACTGCGGACAAGCTCACTCCATGGTGGGCAACCACTGAGTTGCTCCAGTTGCTGCGCTCGCTCCAAAGGACTTTGGGACGCATGACTGCTCGACAGAGGATGTCGACATGACCAGTTCTGGTCCTTTTTGGGGCTCCATGCGCAGACCACCACGTGGACAATTTTTCCTGGAAATTTTCGCAGGCGAGGCCGTGCTCACGCGCGCCATGCGCAACGCCGGATTTGCCTGCCTCCCTCCGATCGAGCTGGAAAAGAATCAGTTCGTTCCTTTCTCCACAGATATCACAGATGATCGAGTTCTCCTACATGTGCGAATGTTGCTCACAGAGGGCTACATCACCTACATCCATTTCGGCACGCCTTGTTCGTCTTTCAGCCTGGCTCGCAAGGCCGATGGTGGTCCTCCTCCTTTGCGCTCGCCGCAAGCATTGTTTGGACTGCCCGGTCTGAAGCCGGCTGATCAGCTGAAGGTCGACATCGGCAATCAACTCATGCAGCTCACAGCGGATCTGATTCACCAGTGCCAAAAGCACGGCGCCAAGTGGTCCGTGGAGAATCCTTTAGGTTCATACCTTTGGGCCATGCCGCCACTGCAGGAGCTGGCAATCTCAGGTCGTCGCATCGAGCTCGACATGTGCCGATTTGGTTCCCCACACATGAAGCCAACCGCGCTCCTCACCACGGCTGCGCTCGACTCTTTGGCTCAACGATGTGACATGTCAGTTCGACCTCACAACCATGATCCTCTGGTCGGCACGGAGATGGTCCAAGGTCGGCGACAGTTCAAAACCAAACGAGCTCAAGTATATCCCTCTGAACTGTGCCGCCAGTGGGCGGCTGCCTTGGGTTCCGACTCCGATCCCAATGCCAAGACGTTCACTATGACCACACCGGCCGCTGATCGAAAAAGGCCGCTCGGACAACCAACCCCGTGGTCGGCTCACCGACAAGAAAGTTCCGGTCACAAGGCGGTTGGTGCGGGCTACCAACTCAAGAAGTCTGTGCTCCCGCCATTGCCGGTGGCCGAGTTCGAACCAGGCGAAGCAGTGAAGATCGCCCTCAACACCATCCACCCGTTTTCCCGGGCACCAGCGCTGGAGCCTGATCTGCAAGAAGCGCTGGCTCTTACAGCTCTTCATCCTGAATGGGTGGTCACGCATCGGTGTCGCGCCTTGCACTACTGGGAGCATCGCGCGGTGGCTCTACTCCCTCACACAGATCACGAGCTCTCCGCAATACCTGATCCTTGGCTGCGGCGCTTGCTCCGAGGTGCAGATGATGGGAAGCCTGTCGCGCTGGGAACATGCACTCACATTGCTCTTTGGCGCGAACTCGCCGCAGCTGCGCGATCCGTGGATGCCAAGCTCGTGGATCAGATGCTCACAGGACTGCCAATTGTCGGGAGTATCACACCTTCCAATCGGTGGGGTCCTTTCGATAAAGAACAAACAGTTCTGCAGCTCCATGAGCTAGAGAAACGGGCCTGGGACTTTTCTGCAAGAGTTGTGGCTAACGTTCGTAAATGCGAAGTCACTGAAAACACCCAGAAAGTTTGGGATGCCACCATGGAGGATGTAGCAGAAGGGGTCACCCTAGGTCCATTTTTTCTCAAAAGAAGAAGTAAGCAAGATCGTGGGCACCCCCTGGATACCTACACAAAGATTTGAGGTCGTTCAGAAAAACAAGGTCAGGGGAGTGGACAGCGCCACGATCAACGGGATCAACGTGGCAACCAAAATCACGGAGAAACTGGATCTGCCATCGACGGACACGAATGTGGCAGCGATCAGATGGCTGCGCTCGCAGGTGGGTCAGAGATCCTTGGAGGGCTGGGTACTGGACGAGAGAAAAGCTTATAGGCAGGTGCCCATTGATCCGGCACACCGCAAATGGAGCGTGATCTCTCTGAGGGAGCCTAGTTCAGGCAGGGTTAGTTTCTTCGTAATGATAGGACACTCTTTCGGATTGGTGTCCGCAGTGTATAACTACAACCGTAGGTCTGCACTGATTACGGATATCCTTAGGAGGGTGTTTGCTGTTGCCGCGTTCAATTTTTACGATGATAAGTACGGGTTCGAGCCGTCTGAAACGATCGACTCGGCCTTTACTGCGGCGCAAGCAGTTCACCTGTGGTTGGGAGCTAGGTTCGACCAGAAGAAACTTCAGAAGACGACAGCTCCCACCATTTTAGGCGTAACCTATGATTTATCAAACATGAAACTGTTGATCAAAGAGAGCCGTAAATCCGAGCTAGTTGACGAGATCGACGGAATTCTGAGTTCGAGAGTTTTATCTCCAGGTCAGGCAGGGAAACTGCGTGGCAAACTCATGTTCGGCTCGTCCCAGCTCTGGGGGAAAGTCGGCAGGGCGTTTCTCAGAGCGCTGTCTGAGCGACAGTACTCTAGGGTGCCCGCTCTCTCTTTGAATAAGCCGATCAGACTCGCCTTGAACGAATGGCGGCACTTGATCCAAAAAGGCCCAGCTCGGCCAATTGAATTGATCACTGAAAAGAAAGCTGATTTTGTCATTTTCACGGATGGTAGTTTTCCTGATGAGCGAGAAGACAGCCTGGAGTACCCCTGGATCGGTGGGGTTCTTCTTGGCATAGGTCGCACACCACTGCAGTTTGGCGCTCGCGTGCCGGAGCGGCTCATTCAGAAATGGCTGCCCCGAAAGTCACAGATCGCCACGGTGGAAATGTTCGCGGTCGTTGTCGCGCTCGCTTCTTTTCGGGATTTGATTTTGGGTTCGTGGATTTTGATATTTGTTGATTCTGAACCGGTTCTTGGTGCGCTCGTAAAGGGCTATTCCTCCAAAGAGGATATGTGTGAGCTCACGGGCGTATTTTGGCAGTTAGCTCTAGAGATCAGAGCTCTTGCCTATCTGGACCGGGTGTCGACAGACGCCAACCCAGCGGATCCACCGTCTAGAAATAAGATGGATATAGGCACCAAGCTCGGTTGGAAGACAGTACGAGCAGTTTTTCCAGATCTCTAAGTCAGCGTGGGGTCTGGATGTGATTTCTGCTTATTCTGTTTTGATTTGAAATCTATGCCACCAGATCTGGTGCGCGTCAAGTCAACCTTCCAATCACCCACGTCACACGGAAGGAGAAAAGTCAGTGCGAGTTCACGCAGCCTTCCGTGGTTCACGTTGTGAGTTGAAAGTGCTTTGTTCAAAGCACTGGCGTAAGAACTCAATTGGTCAGCTTATCATCGGTCTGGTTGGTTAGGGATAAGCAGGTCAATTTCAGAGTTCAGGTCAACTCACTCGTTCTTTCTATTTGAGCCGATGGCATGATCATGCCATTTTGGCTCAAGGAGCTCTACCATCCTTTTTGAACCCACCCACCACTCCCCATCGATCCTGGATCCAAGGATTGGTGGGGGTGGTGCCAGATGCTCCACCCATGGCCGTGATTGCGCCATCAGATAGATCGATCCTCTTTTTGCACAAGAGCTCACTTTATTTCGCTTTGCACCAAGATCCCTGGATGATGATGTGGCATGATTGTCCACTTGCAGCGCTGCTTCGATCGCAGCTTCGGCAGTGCATTGATCTCAGTGATGTCTTGCACACTGCCGCTTGTGAATAGGTGCTGCCAGCCGTTTAGATCCGCTGACAGCAGTCATTAAAAAAAAAAAAGGTCAGTTCGACCAGATGTCAGAGAAGATTTGTATAGCTAACGATTTGATTGCAGGGGTCTGGATGTGATTTCTGCTTATTCTGTTTTGATTTGAAATCTATGCCACCAGATCTGGTGCGCGTCAAGTCAACCTTCCAATCACCCACGTCACACGGAAGGAGAAAAGTCAGTGCGAGTTCACGCAGCCTTCCGTGGTTCACGTTGTGAGTTGAAAGTGCTTTGTTCAAAGCACTGGCGTAAGAACTCAATTGTTTCTATTGATGAACTGTTGCGCCATTTGGTTTGTTCATTCTCAAGAATCAAATCCAAGCTGGAGAAGCGTGTTGCGCCATCCCTGCTGGCTTCCTAGGAACCAACTAGAGGAGAATATCATCTAGTTTCAGCTTCTTCGTGAGACATGGCATTTTGCAAGGAGCTGAACGGACACAACAAGCATTCGGCGCGGCTCAATTGGACTGACCATGACCAGGACGGGTCCACGGGGGACTCGCTTGTGCGGCGCTTGCCGCGCTTGTGCAAGTGGATTGGGGTGTTAGGATGCTTCCACAGGTTTTATCCGTCCATTTTTTGGTCAGCTCTAAGGACCAGAACAGATGCTCTAAGGACCTGCCCCCCAAAAAAAGCACGCACCACGGGCTTGCTGGTGGGCTGTGCGGAGAGATTTGAGATGAGCTGCATGCTGGTTGTATGGTAATGCAGCTTTAAGTTGCTGGAAGATGGCGGGAAAGATGCCAACCTGGGCTGCATTTGCAGCCATTGGGCACAATGCGACTCCTGACAGAGATTCCCAGTTTGTCTCTGGTGCAGACTTTGTAGAAGCCATTGGCAGTTAAAGTAGGTGTTTGGAGGCGAAAGTTCGGGAGCCCTTTGAATCTGTTTGTTTTTGTTCCAGGAGAAAAGAACCAGCCGCTTGCCGCACCGCCTGCAGCGCCCACCTGACAAATCTGTGGAAAAAAAGTGGCATGGGTTCGACATTGAAAGCAACGTGTGGGTCGACAACGCGGTGACTTTGCCGTCCCTGCCCTTGGGTAAAAACCGTGGTCCTTGCATAGTTCCTTTCTATCAAGAAGAAATTCTAGTGCCTAGATGCCAGTAGTACCAACTGCCATGTGACAAGGGTGTAGCCCAAACAGCTGCATGGTGAAACCTTGGGGCAAAACATGTTGGATGACTGGCAGCCTCCGCGACTCCACGTTTAGCGGTTCCACATGGTTCCTTTCCTGCAACATTTTGGCTGTGTCACTTCGCAGTTGCCAATCGAATCAGGCCGGCTGAATGTGGGCATTGAATGTTGATCGCGAGACAACTCTTATGCGGTATGTTTTGAACGGGTTAGCAGGTTAGATCTTGTTGTATGGCTAAGAAGCCATGATTAAGTGTTTCTTATGCAGCGCTTGCGGTGTTGCGTGTTTCGAACTCGACGTGGAATTGGGCTTCTTGTTGGTGTTTCCCATTTTTTCCCACACATGCGAAGGATTGGGATTTCGCGGAAGGCATGCCAAATTCTTTTAAGCATACCTTATGTTTGGCATGGACGGACACGGCGCCACGCTTCGCCCGGGGAAGCTCCAGGTTGGCACGCCCCACGTTGTGGTTCACCCCGCCCCGGAGCGGCGAAGGCTGGGGAAGTGAGTGCCCGGAGGTGAGGAGATCAGGATGGGAGACTGTCCTGGAAGGTGCACTCGAGAGTGCACGAGTGAACCAGAAGAGGATGAGTTGCCAAGCGGGTTGTTGGTGGGTTGAGTTGGTTGCTGCTGACCTCCATGTGGGAAGCCAGCATCTGAACAAACTCAAGCCGAAGACAACTCAGCGGCAGAAAGTCTTTTAGAGAGGCTATATAAAGAGGTGGGATTTCTCGTGGCTAAAGTCATGTTGGCGGGCTGTCGCCTTTTTCTGCGATTGCTTGTGAGCATCATTTGCGCCGATTTCATGCATCAAGTTGCAGAACAGTGGACTCTGTTGCGCACTGGGTGAGTGAGTCTATATTTTTCAACACCTGGCGTGTTGGATTTGCACGCGCTCGAAATCCTCAGCCCGACTGCAGGGCGGGCCCTGTCACCATGAGCGAAGAGATTGACAGGCATGTGCTCAGGAAGTGCTCCTGCTGGTTGCAGACAGGTCTATTCAAACCCCATTTGGCTGTCCATTCTTCCATCCGTGTTCTGGTTCTTGATGTTTGTTCTTCCATTTGCCCAACCTTCACTCTGCTACACACTGTTGTCCTCTTGTTATATATTCAGCTGGTCGCTCAAGCCTGTTCCGTTCCTGTTATTTTTTGGTTCTTTCGAGTTCCCTGGCGGGCAACTTTCCAAGAATTGTGTGATTGTATGAACATCCGTCCGAACGGCACGGACTCCATGCACAACGACTCCAAATCAGTTCCTATGAAGACTCCAGGTCAACAGTCCAAGACCAAGCCAGTTGCGGCACCCTCCTGTGCGGGTTCCTTTTAACTTCCATCGACCCGAGGGTTCCTTCTTCCTTCGCTGCTTCGCTTCGCTTGGCGCGGCGCATGCGCCGGACAGGTACGAGATCGTTCAAAAGCTGGGCCGCGGCGCCTATGGCATCGTTTGGAAGGCCATCGACAAAAAGACCCGCGAGGCCACCATCCCGTCGGGGTGGGCCGGGGTTTTCCAGGCTGGGCGAGGAGTCGAGACGGAAGGTTGGGCAGTTGAGAGTCGTGACGGGGTTCGGTGAAAGGAGTTGAATGTCTACGGAGCATGACGGGGTTACTGGGCCTGAAGGACACGATGAACGCGTGGGCAGGTAGGGGGCTCGAGGGTGCAAGGGATGAAACACAAGGGAGGAATGAAGGAGGCTCGAGGGGAATGAAGGGGGCTCGAGGGGGCAAGGGATGAAACACAAGGGGGAGTGAAGGGCAAGGGATGAAACACAAGGGGGG